CCCAGGAGCTGACAATTAGGTGCCCAATTAGCAACACCAGTATGGACCCTGATGTGTCCAGATTCTGTCTACAGCAAATGGATCTGAGGGTTAAAGTGTGCAGGAGATGCATAGAATACTATGCAGACTGCTGCACTGATAAGATAACAGGTTTTGGTGGAGGCAGTGTGAGGGTGTGCAGCGACTTCGCCCTCACTGGAAAAATGACTTCAAACATCTACTCCAGTTCGAGTTCAGAACCAGAATAACCTGTTTGGCGAGGCAGAGAGTCATGGGTGCAACACACATACTCAACTCTGCTGCTCTACCCACAAAGGTGTTTGTTTTTATTTGTTATTTTACAAATGTGGCAGCATTTAAGGGGAAATAAAAAGGTTTTCCAATGTTATAAGATTATTTCCAAGAAGCATTGTTACAAGAAAGAAACAATCAACCAAACAAAGTTTACTTTCCACTTTCTGTGCTAAATTTATATTGAGACATTTCCAGTTTGTTCTTTGCTTACACATTTTGTTTAACTTCCATCATTATCTGAGTAACTACATGTATGTTTGAGTTGTGTAAAACACTATGTGACTTTAAAGATCTCTAAAGATCGAGCTTACCTGGCCTGTAAGGAGGGAACGTCTGAATGAGGAAAGAGCTGAAAAGGACCGGATTTGATTACAGCTTCTCCAAATGGTTCTTTGTACTCCTGCTTTATAAACTGGACAATAGACCTCTATGCTTTTATCCCAATCATCATGCACTACGCACAGACAGGATTTGTGCAATATTTAGGCAATGAAACGTGGTTTTAGGGCATCTGTACAGCACCACAGTGGATTGCAAATCAAATAATCAAGATGTGATTAAAATGCAGACTTTCAGCTTTAATTCAAGGTGTTCATCAAAAGTATAGCATCAGCTGTTTAGGATTTACAGCCGTTATTATGCATAATCGCCTTTTCAGTGTCTCAAAAGTAATGGTACCAGTACTTATGACCCTGAGTATATCTAAACCTTGATCTTAATTTAAAAGACAGATATTTTGATATCTTGACATATCAATGCTTGCTTTAGCTAAAAATGAGAATAAAATAGCAATTTCATGTGTTCTTCAAGGACAAGTTTGTAATTTGTTGGATTTTCTGTGCCTGTCTGCATTTGCATGTATCGATGTGAGGACGGGAGTTGAGACACACACACACACAACAGACGCAATTACATACGTGTTTGTTTCTCAACATTTGTTTGCTCTGTTATCGGCCTCAGATAACAGAGTCTGTGTCAATGACATTCCTGACAGGACGCACACAACTCCACCACAGTTATGGCGGGGCAAAGCAATGATTTCATTAAAGGACTGTAGAGAAGTAAATACTGAAGAATTCCTGCTCACAGATCATCCTTCATTTATTCCAGGTTTTGTTGGACTCTCTATCTCCCCTCTCTGCCAGTCTCTTAATGTTTGTGATTAATATCATATCTCCTTTACAAGCAGAGCTCCACCTCTTAGATATTCCAAGTTGGGCAACCACAGCAAGCCAAAGTGTAACAGCACCAGCGCCGCTGTAGCTAGGCCACACTGGGCCAAGCCAAAGGAATGTTTATGGGGTCCTTTTCCGGGATAAAAGGGTCTTGATGAATTTTATTGCCATGTTGTGGACTTGTGAGCTTCCCTAAATGCCAGAGAACAGATGAAGGGTGTCAGTACTTATTATCCAAGTGATATTTTAGCCCGGGTGGACAGCTACTCCACTTTGTGCTGCTAACTATTAGAGTGATTAAAACAACCACAGATAAAGAAAGTAAATATTAAAGTAAAACATGTTAAATGTTAGCTGAGGGTGCAGCCTACTGTTTCACTGCAGGACAGACAGGCCTGTGGTGCCAGAAGCTGATACAGTAAAATAGAAGGTTTTCTAATTACAAAGTGATGCTTGTGCCAGCTAATACATAATAGAGTCCCCTTTCCAACTGTGTCAGTGACAGAGTGCACATCCATGTTGTATCTTGTGATAAAACTTTATTATTTAAATCTTTCTTCTCAAATGCACTCACGAGTCCAAAGTGGTGATATATGCCAGTTTTTAAATTGTGTTGATAGGCCAGGTAAAACCAGAGTCATGATAAACAATATGTTTTTTCCTCAATAGTTTCGTCATGTTTACTGTCTAAGGACAGCGCTAGCAAGCACTCTCTGCTTATGACCAAAATATAAAAAACAAACAAACAAACAAACAAAAAAACCCCAGCCTGTTCATTTTGGTGGAAAAATGCACCATCGACCAATCAAAAAATGATATGGCAACATGATATCTGATTGTTTAGGAAGAGGGGGAAGTTTTAGAAGTGACGGCGAGAGAGATAAAGACAGCAGAAAGAGGGAGAGCGAGTTTTGAGATGTGAGAGATTTGTGACGTTTAGCGTGCTTGGAGTGTGTAGTTAATGTGTTGTCTTGTGTAGTTAGTGTGTAGTATTGTAGATAGTTTTGTGTTGTGTGTCAGGACAATGAGGCGACTGCTGTCTCCAGGCAGAAACAGGAGTGATACACCTGCTGCTGTCAGACCTGCAGGTATCAGGCTGTGATGTTCTCCTTTATAGTGGACAGAAATTATTTCTTTGGAGTGGCACAAATAATTTGTGAGGCATCTTCTTGAATGCAGAACAGCTGATTGTTCTGTAAATCGTTTGAATGGTTGGTTAAAAAAGGGTAAAAGGTAAATGGCTGCAAATAACTTTGTTGTCTACAAAACTTGTGCATAGGATTTTAAAATTGACAATTTATATTTGCATTTAAAGTTATGAAATATGATTCATTAAACATGTTTGTGGTTATTACAGTAAAAAATATAACCTTTTCTACTCAGATTTTATGTTGTTTTTAGTGATTTTAGATCAATTGTGTTAACACAGTATGTCAAAATGAAAACATAACTGTAAATTCAGACACGTGAGGTTGTGCTGAAAAG